AAATCATAAGCACCCACCTGTGCGTAGCAGGTAACAAGACAAAGTTACCTCCCATCTCTGTCAAATAAGTGTAAGGCTTTACCAGTTTACGTTTGACTACTGTAGCGAGGTACAAAAGCTTTACTTTAATAAGCGGTATATCTACTAGTCGTGTATTTTTCAGACATTCTTGAATCAATTTACCTTTAAAATAAATTGAGCTAAAGTCTACATTTTTTTAGCCCTTATTATTAACTTTAATTGCAAATACTCGAACATATCTACAGTTAATGATGTCGAGCACTCAAGGTTGGAAGGATCCGCCATCCTTTTTTCAGTGGTCAAAGCTACTGTGTTTTCTTATTGTACTTTCAGGTATGTATACATAAAAACGTACACTATTAATTTATAACTAACGCTCTTGTTGTATGAACAGCACAATTTGAAAACATAAATTAAAATTATTGATAGTAACTGCAAAAAGTAGCGTGTAAACCAGTGCCCCATCTAAGATTTTTGGTCTCATTCTATGATTTATTTTTCTCGCACCATAGTTTTAAAGATAGATCAATTTAACCAACTGACGAGGTAGTGCTGAAATCCAAAATAGAGAGCTTTGACTCCACGGGTGCCACGGTTCTCTGTTTTATTTGGCCTATTTATAAATTAAGAAAATTTATACTAAAAACAATAATACGTATGCTCAAAGATCAAAGTTCCAAAGGTTGTTTCCACTTACAAATTAACGATGAGATCGAAAACAAAAAAGTAAGCATTAATATACACGTAAAGAAGCTCTAACGAGTATTGCTAAATCAAGTTGTAGGTAAAGCTATGCACAGTGAATTTTTTTCAATACAATTTTTATAGAAGCTAAATGAAATATTACGTCAGTAGGGCATAAACTACAAACACATGAGCACTCGAAGGGTGCGGTTATGGTATGTTTCGGTCCAAGTCATATATTTTGTTTTTCTTATCGAGGGTGCAAAGTGCAACTTTGCGCCCATGGGCACACTTTGTGCCCTAGTCAGAGAAGTGCTTGGGCCCGGAGGTTGCAAAAAACGTTTTGCCGTTAGGTCCAAAGTGGTTACAAAGGCGTAAAGTGTGGCCCGAGGGCACAATGTGGCAGTTGTTCTTTGGACCGATAGTAACAAATAAGGGCCCCATTTCAACAAAAGCTTATAGTACATTTTTAAAAACCTTACAGTTTTTGTATGTTTCTCTTACATTTTTTTTTTAAGAATGTACGTACAATGGTAGTTTCCCTACGAGTTTGAAAAGTCTTTGTTTGCGAACCGAGAGGTTTGCGGCCCGAGCCGAAGGCGAGGGACGTAACGAGGTTCGTAAAGGAGACTTTTCGAACGAGTTCCGGAAAACTGCTTTTTCGCCCGAGGAAGTACCAGCCTCCCAAAACCACCCGAGGGCGGAAAAATTATGTAACTAAGTATAGCGCATAAAAAATTCACGCTACCCTCTGAAGATACCTCAATTGTTTCAACCATCAGATAATTTTGATTAGTTACCCATTTTTAAATAGAGCTAAAATTTTAACTAAAGGGATCCGTGGTTAATGGAAAACCTAGTATCTCCATTTACTTTTAAATTTAAACCAAGTGCAATTCGATAAAATCTTATTAATAGCTGTGTTGACTTTTTTCAAATTTGAAAAATAATTAGAAAAATCTTTTGTAATGCTGTAGAAAAAAAAACCATTTGAAATGGTAGTAATTTAAAAGATATACTGTTTGATTAAATATTGTAATCTAGTACATTCTTCCGTAAAAAAATAATTATGAAATCATGCTGAAGTTGCTTATTTTCAAGTAGTTATTAACAAAGAATTATCATTTGGTTTATAGCTTATCTTGATTAGATTGGCTAATCAACGGTGCGTACAAGTAGTTGGTTTTTTAAAATTAATTCTAAATAAATTCAAGCACATCAATAATAAGTGTTTTTTAAAAATTGTGTAAGAAAGTTTCAAAGATGATGAATTTCGTAAATTAGTTTTCATAATATGTGTCTTGAATGTGATTTTTTTAAATTAAACGTTTTCACATTCAATAAATAGTCACAATTTTAATATTGTATTATTAGGGTCTTACAAGAGTTAGTAGTTATATTGATATTGTCTTATTTTGCCTTTAATTTCAAGACAATATGCATTACATTATGCAGATCTTATTTTTGAGACATTACTAAAATAGTACTTTAAAGAATATTGAAGCAATATTTTTTTGTATTACTTACGTTTTGAGACTTAAAATAAATTTACATAAAAAATAATTTTGCGAGTCAACTGAGCAATAACTTTGCAGTGATCAATTACCTGTGAATTCTTATGAAATGGTAATGTTCATGGAGAAGAACACAATTTTGAACAAGACTATATAAATCTACAGAAAACAAAGCTGTAACAGTTGTGATTTTAAAAAAATGTTCTTGTGTAATAGTACTTAAGAGCTGTTAAAGATGATAACTACTCCTCGATGATTTTTTCACAAATTTCTTTCCACTAACAAATAAAACTTTTCATTGATTTAAAATATGTTATGCATAAAATTTTCTTATGTTTTCGATAATTTTTTTAAATTAACGTATAAGTACTAGTTTTTAAGTTTTTTAAGTTCATAATAGGTTCTTAAACATGGGCTGCAACAAAATACAGCAAGAACAGCTTCAAAGGCCTATGTAAGAAATCAAACCATTTCAATAAAAAATACTTTATGAATCTTCGTAATTTGAACTGTATTTTAGTTATTTTGAATTATGGTGTCTCGGCACGAAATAAATTTCAATTTATTAATTATTATTTTTCTAATTACAAGAGCATACAGCCATAACCTGTAAGACAGTCATCATACGCTGAATGACGCACTTCACTCACTTTATTAACTCGGTCCATGGATTTTCTACCTTGTTGTCTTTAACGTATATTGAATTAAAATTTAGAAGTTCATCATAGTCTTTTTATCATCATAATTTTTTTATTAAAACATTCGTAATTTTTTGAACTATACAATACAATTTTTCAAATTAATCTTCAAACTTTTTTTTTGATTTTCTAAATCTTGACTCACACTTGTCAAAACGAGCTATGTGTTTTAGTTTATGTTTATTCTTATCATTGAATCATTTTACTGTTTTATATTTACATTTTTTAAAACTGGACATGTTTTTTTCAAGTTATTCATCTCTTGGGGCTGAAAACTATTAATACTTATTACCATTATTTTCTATCATCAAAATTATGTTAGTATAACTTAAATTTATTTTTAGAACTGTGAGATAAAGCAAAAATAAAATAAAAACAAGTAACTTGGCTGATGCACTCCTAAATTGAATATTTTAATCAAAATACTTTTTCTATCTAAAATTAGAAATGTGCATCATTCATAAGCATTATTTTTTAAATAATCGAAGAAAGCATGTACACATATAATTTGTACGCAAATGAAACATTTGTTATAAGATTTGAAAAAAATTGTTGACAGCGTATTTCTTACTTTATATTTTATCACTAATTCACTAATATATTAAAATTATTATAATACTAGATAATAAGATTATGCTAGAATAGTACCTACTTAGTTTACTAGCACTTTTTAAGTTATGAATTTCATTGAACTTGGTACTTTGAACTTACTAGGAGGTTGAGAATTTATTTCTATCTTTTAAATAGCCGATGAAAAAGAAGTTACTCATTTTGCTTTATTAGAGAAAAGAAACCCTCTGGTGAAGCAGTATACCGTTGAAGGCTTAGTTTGCATGAGAATAATTAATTTTACTATTTTAGGAGGCTCACTGCTACGAACATACCTATTAGCCTCCTTCTCTCTTTATCTAGGACTGTTTGTCTTATCTTACTTATATATACAGCAAAGTCGCTAAAACCGTTGTAATGGCTAACCGCGAAAACTACTAAACCGATTTTGCTGAATTTTTGCACACTGATTCGTGACACTTCTTAGATGGTTTTAGTATAGTTTTTATCTTGAAAAATTTAATAACATCAGCAATAAATAAGCTCAAAGTTTTGCAAAAATACGCCAGCTTTTCACTTCAGTTCAGTAGGATCCGCCAGGTGGCGTTGACATAAAATCGAGGCTACCTACAACAGAATTGAATAAGTGTGGTTATTAGAGTGTTCTACGTCCGGCTCCTTTTTAATAAGGGCACTACTATGGGCACTTAGCACTTAGGAAAGGGACAAGGAAAGAGATGGAAAGGCCCACCATTACAGGGAGGGGGGTAGGGGGAATTAGGCAATTTTTGCTGCGAGAAGGTCGCCTAAACCCTCCTCGAGGAGCATTGCGTGGTGAAAAAGCACATGAGAAAAATCACAGAGGTACTTGCCCGAAAAAGTTGCACTATGGCCGGGAATTGAACCACGGTCTCCCGCGTGCCAATCCACGACCTAGCCGACCGAGCCACCGCGCGCTCTACTATATGGGTGACTGATGCTGGGCGAACGCTTATTCCACTGCTGTATACATATATACATGTATTATATAGTACGCTGTACAACTTCTGCTACTAAGTGTGTATAGGTATATAACGGGCGAGTAAACAGAGGTGGTGGTGGTGCAAACGGCGTGCAAACGCAACACCGCGAGACGCGTTACTTTGGCTAAGCCCTCCGGTGTTCTACCATTGGACGGACTTTTTCGAGGCGTGTCGCTTTCACGCTTCTCTGCCCGCGATGTTTTTTTTTTTTGCTCTCTCGCCAGGCACGCGTTTCTCTCCTCCGATCTAAAGTAGTGCCGTTTTTTCCGTAATAGAAGTTATTCGCACTTACTCCCACCCCTCGCCCCCCATCCCAAGAACAACCCCCACTGCTGTATTGGTTCTATTTCGAGCTTTCGTGTGTGCTAGTAGTGCCATTTTCACCAACTGCTCATCTGAGATTTGCTTGAACATTTGTTTCCTCCGTTGGGAGAACATAGAAATGGTCGTAATCCTTTTCAGGACCATTATTAACCGTTTCAGCAGCTTTACATAATCGAGAAATAACCACAATGGGTGACAAATACTCC